GCTGGTTAAATATAAGAATGCACACGAGCACTGAATTGTTTCAGCCACCATGCTAACATTTTGCATTTAACAGACATATTCAGCAATTTCCATCTACCTGTAATATCTACAGGGCGTTTTCTTTTGACAGGATTGGCTGTATGACTAATAAACCAGCAATCGTTATCGCCAACACCTGCTTTATTGTTTAAACATGTCCGGAGTCTAAAGGTGATTGCCAAATTCCACCGTCGTAGCACATTTCTGAAGTTTTGAAAAACCTGCAAAACTGCCAGTCAGCATTTCTTTATCGCTTCACTAAAGGAAAGTGCAGTTTTGACTCACTTCGGTGTGCTGTAAACAAATATAAATCTATATTAAAATTCTAGCACATTTTGTGCTATGGAGGTGGTACCGCCTATAAAAAGGAGCAGAAACTGAGGCGCTCCGCTCCACAACCCTACAAGTGATCACGGTGAAATCAGAAAGGCTCAAGAGATGAGGGTGTAAATATAGCAGTTGGGTGTAATCCACTTTGTGCATTTCTTTATCCAGCGAGTGTTCATCTCATGCAAAGACAGTGGAGGAGACAGTTGACTTGAATAGTTAGGTTTGTTCCCCAGAGTAGATTTATTAAAGTTAGGACCATAGAAACCTAGTGAATGACACAAGTAGGTATTCATACTTCTTTATCTGGAATGACATCGGTAAGGAGGGCGTGGAACGTTTTTAAAATCAAAAGTTGCACAACGTACAGCCATGCATCATGGCTACTGGTGAGACGCTAAATTTGTGTTCCCATAAATAAGGCAGAATGCAAAGTCCATGAAAATGAAAAGTTAATACATTTAGCCAATTTGGACAGTGGTGTGACAGCAGGAATTAGATGTACTTCTTCATCTCGTCGTACAACACCAGCACAAAGGCGCCGCCCATGCCTCTGAGCACGTTGGACCAGGCTCCCTTGAAGAACGCCTTTCCACCTTCGTCGCGTGCAATCTTACGCCAGCAATCAATGGTCCCACTGTACATGATGTCAGCTGCAGGAGGAAAGAATAAAAGTTAGATTAAGATGGAAAATAACCACCGTGTTTACGAGCCTGACTGTATGCAGTCCCAATAATATGGTCATACTCACCTCCTTTGCGTCCGGACTGCATCATCATACGTCTACGGACAGTATCGAAGGGGTATGAGGTCAGGCCAGCGACGGCTGTCACAGTCTGTGCAATCATCCAGCTCACCAATATGTGGGTGTTCTTGGGGTCTGGAAGCATACCTGCAAAACAAGAGGAGGTAAAAAAAAATCAGCAGCCAGAAATTAAAGAGTTAACCCACCAAATGCACTTTGGTACATCAGCGTGAAACGAACCCTTAGCTGTGTCGTAGATGCCGAAGTACGCAGCCCTGTAGATGATGATGCCCTGCACAGACACATTGAAGCCCTGGTACAACCCTCGAAGACCGTCAGACTTGAAGATTTTAGCCAGGCAGTCACCCAGACCTTTGAATTCTCGTCCTTGTCCAGCCTTTCCTACGTCCGCTGCCAGACGGGTACGGGCGAAGTCAAGGGGGTACACGAAACAGAGCGAGGTGGCGCCAGCAGCTCCACCGGAGGCCAGGTTACCAGCAAAGTACCTCCAGAACTGGGCGCGCTTGTCCACGCCATCAAGGAAGACCTTCTTGTACTTGTCTTTGAAGGCGAAGTTGAGGGCCTGGGTGGGGAAATATCTGATGACATTGGCAAGGTTACCTCTCCAGAAGGAAAGGACTCCCTGCTCCTTGGGGATACGGACAACACAGTCGATGATGCCTTTATACTGCTTGTCTACGGTGATCTGTTTGCTTGCATGTTGGACCTGGAATAAATGAAAAGGAAATGCGTTTAAATAAAGGACAGCCAATTACCTGCTGGGCATATGACAATCACAAAACCTTCTCGTTGTGACCTTGTATCAAGTAAAAATGTCAAGAAAATGACACATGGGCGTGTTTTGAACAAGAGCTGTCAAAATACCAGCAATCATCGATGGCAATCGCAAGATAAATTTACAACTTGCTTTGATTCATTGAAAGAAATAAAACGCTCGTTCCTTTATTGAAGTAGTGAAAAACAAAAAGTGATTGAAAATGTATTTGTAGACATTAAGTCATTCATTGCGCAAATTGCACTAAAGCGGATGTAAAACTTGTCCACCCGGCTTCAAGTCACCTCCGAGCTTTTCGTTCCGCCAAGTTTGAGCGGTTCGTTAGATTGTGTCGACAGCTACATGACAACACGGCTGGAATATAATATTAAGTTGTCACTGCAGTAATTTACACGAGTTGTAAGTAAGCTGAAGGAGTAGTAACTAGCTTGGACAAAGTGTACCAACGCCGCGTCAGGCGTTTGTCCTTTGTTAGCTACGCCGGCTAAGGTTAACGCGTTAAGCTAGCGCTTAGCAGCCGGGCTCCTCCTGTAGGTCATTTCACTTTCAGTGATGACCTCAGATTTATGAGCGCATCACTCATCTAAACTCTCCAAATCTCACAACAACTCGCATTAAATCCACATCTAAAGCTATAAGCCGGTGGATGCGTCAGGACAGCGTGTACCCCAGCGGGAATATACGAGCTAGCCGGCTAACGCACTGTCTTCCGGAAGTTTTTTTTTTTCTTACCTGAAGGAGAAGCTTCACTCTCTCAATCGGGGCGACGGCTGTTTTGGAAATGGCAGCGGAGATTCCGCCAGCCAAGAAGTCCTTAGCGAATGAGATAGCTTGTTCACTCATGTTGCGATGTTTTAAATGTGCCTTTCAGGTAACCGGTATCCCCACTGCCCTTTACGTCTGACGGCCTGCACCAACGAAATGGCCGATTGTCAAGTCGCGTAGAGGATTTATCTAACAGGATATCTCGCGATACTACAGGAGAACTCGTGTCGTAGCGTATTGGCTAATCCTTTGACGTCATGCATGTCTCGACCAATAGGATGTCTCGATTGTGAAGACGTCACGATGCGCGTAGTTTTCTGTACCCAAGGCAAGAAATTCACGTGAAGTGACTCACTCTCTTGGCTGAGACAGAACTGAACGAACTGTAACGTGGACTTTGTCTGATCGAGTTTCCGGTTCAAAGTCACGCACATATAAAGAGAAGCTGCTTGGCAGAGTCCGTCCCCTGGACGGCAGACCGTTGTAACATGTAATCAACCCGGTCTCAATTTTCTATTATATCAATAACTGCATTCCTTCTGGGAATTATATTCAATATTACATTTTTATAAGTCAAAATCCAAGATAATAGGGAAAATTACATCCTTAGTAATAAAACGTATAATTACCACTGAAACTGTAAGTTCAAAACAAATTATTTAATATTTAACACAACTGCATATATTTTGCAGGTCTATAAACATTTTTTCACAAGTCTAAAAGAACATTCAGATGTCACCTTTTACATTTATGTTTATTCTTACAAGTTCATTCTTTACATCTATACAAGTGTGTGCAACTGATGGTTTTTTTCATATTTCACTCAATGTGCATGTGCAGTAACAGGAAGTGATGTCAAAGGGGGACAGCTGCGTGTGAATACTGCTGCAATGGCTGTCATCACAGACAGAAGAGAAAAATCTGATATTTCTTTAAATTTAACTCTATCAGAGAAGAGTTAGAGTTAAAATCATATTGTTTCAGTCTACTTAGACCAAGAAGTTCCCCCCTTTTAAAGAGGTCACCTTTGATGTCACTTCCTGTTTCACTTTGGGTGCACCAAGTTCAAAAGAAAATATGCCAGTTATGTAACAAAATGGTTAAAATTACTTGTATTATGCCAAATTTCTCAACTATTAAGATGTTTTCTTCCACGTTTTGTATTTGTAGGATAAACATGTCACAGTCACTTTAAAGGCACTCATTGTGAAGTATGAAATCAAACAGAAAAATGTTTTCCTGAACTATATCACGACACGTGGTGCAGTTTGATTTCATTTGTGTCAGTATTTTCTAGATTTACTGAAATGCAATTCTGAAATAAGGGCCCACACCTAATGTAAACAAATATTTGTCTGATTCTGCTGAAAACCACAGAAGCTTCAATCACATGATTGGCTCACATTAGGCTGTATTCTGTGTAGGTAAACAAATATGGAAAAATCACACAAGCTGAAGGAAGCAACCAAAAAATATATATAGCATGAAGGTAAACATTTTTTGCATCATATGTTTATGCTTCGTCTAATTTTATACCATATGATATAATCTACATGTGCAATGAAAACCATGATGAAACTACTGATGGGAATAATAAAGTTTATGATGGCCGTACACATCTGCTGTTCTCAAAATATTTTGATGCTGAATTACACACAGGAGTCAAATCTCAAAGAGGGTTACATGTTTTGTGGAACAGGTGGAAGAGAACTTGGAGAGGTGGAGGTATGCACATGAAAGAAGAGGAATGAAAGACAGCCGTGGTAAGACAGAGTACATGTGAATGAGATGGAGGAGGTGGAGCAGTGAGCCCAGAGGTCACAAAGGTGCAGGACTTCAAGGACTTGGGGTCCACTGTCCAGGAAAATGGGGAATGTGGTAAAGAGGTGAAGAAGAGAGTCCACGCAGGATGGAGAAAAGTTTCAGGAGTGATTTGCGACAAAAAGAGTGTCCGCAAAGGTCAAAGGAAAAGTTTGCAAGACAAAAACTTTATTTACCGACATCCAGAACCTGTTGAAGGACGGCAGCACGTTCTCTAACGGTGGAATTTAGGACGAATGATGTCGTTAAAAAAATAAAAAAACGCTGTTTCAAACAATTGACTGATTAAAGACTAAAAGTTACACCAAAGTCTGAGTCCTTTAAGAGTAGAAAAGTTCAGAGGATGTCGGTTTGGCTCCAAATGTGAGAAAAATTGAACTGAATTAAAAAAACAAATAAATTCAGAGATATTTTCAGATTTCTCCGGTACAGAGCTGAGACTCAAGAAACTGTTCAAGGACTCTGAAGGAACAGGGAACTGGACATCCGTCATCTCAGATCCCTTACATGGACCCACAGAACCACATCAACAGCTGCTGGACCCACATGGACCCACAGAACCACATCAACAGCTGCTGGATCCACATGGACCCACAGAACCACATCAACAGCTGCTGGATCCACATGGACCCACAGAACCACATCAACAGCTGCTGGACCCACATGGACCAGGGTTTCTTTGTCCAGTTAATCCAGAGAAACCTTACTGAGCAGAAAAGGAGCCTGAGGATTACCTGGTCCAGACATGGCTCCAACTGCTCTGGGCTCCATCTGGGTTGGACTGTCACACAGTGGAAACCTGGGTCAGATGGATCAGGACCCCAGAACTTTTGTTGGAAGAAATGGACAGAAGTGGGAACCAAACATCCAGAGACAGTGACATTGACAAAAAGACAGGAGGCAGAACTGGAAGTGGCAGAAATGAAGATGTTGAGGTTCTCCTTAGGAGTGACAAGGATGGAGAAGATCAGGAATGAGGTCATCAGAGGTACAGCACAGGTTGAGCAACTGGGAGATAAAGTTAGAGAGACCAGACTGAGATGGTTTGGACATGTCCAGAGGAGGGACAGTGGGTATACTGGTAGAAGGATGTTAGAAATGCAGCTGCCAGGAAGAAGACAAAGAGGAGATATATGGATGGACGTGGGGGTAGATGGAGTGAGGATGGAGGACAGAATGAGATGGAGGATGACTGTGGCGACCCTGAAGAGGGAACAGATAAAAATAAAAAGCAGCAGGACGACAGAGTGCAGTTAAAAAAGTACAGGCTTTTGCAAAAGTTCAGTTTAATGTCTAATCTTTGGCTGTTTAACAAACTCACTGGGAAGTTTTCATCTGGTCGCAAACGTTGCTGAGAAATTTTTAACTTAAGGATAAATCAATATGAGGAAACTATTGTGCCGATTAATTTTATTATTTTTTTGTTTCTCGTCTTTCTGACTGTGCAATGATTATGTTTAAGATTAGCAGACATGTTTGATTTCATATCCCTACATCCACCTGGTCACAGAGCACACCTGCTGAACGCCATTTTTAGAGTTTATCTGTGAACACGTCACACACACATGACAGTGGCATTAAGATAAAATCCCTGAATTGACACAAAAATGAAAGGAACGTTTCATCTTTATTTGTGATGTTAGTTTTGTCCACCAGGGGGAGACAAAATACAAATCACTGTCTCTGAAGCAGCTCAGGTTGATCTGCTCTTCAACGATTTTTAGTTTTGTTCCATTATAGTGTGAATGTTTATGAAGCGTGCACACTATTGAGATGCATTTTCCTTCCCTACGTTTTCGGCATCTACTTCCTATAATTTAAATGCTATTTCAACAATTCACATCCAAACGTTCAACTCTTTCAGGAGAGGACTGTTGGTATTGGTGCAACTTTAGCTTTTTGAGATATTTAGCCTTTTCCACCATTTCCTTCCCCATTGAACATAAATTGAGCTCCTTTTACATCTTTCATAACTTTTGATCTGGTTACAACTTTTTACTGCTCCTTTCACACCCTGTTCTAATTATAACCTTCTTTCAGCTTCCTTAAGTGCAAAAATTACAATAATTTAAGCTACTTTCAGGTAATTTTAGCTGTTTTTCAGCTGTTTTGTGCTCCTTACAGCTTTATTCAGCTAACTTCAACATTTTTGAGCTTCTTTCAACTTATTTCTGCTAATTACAGCTTGTTGTGCTTTCAGTTTATTTCTGCAAATTTCAGCTATTTATGCTAGTTCAGCTACTTTTTTAGCTGTTTTATGCTAATTTCAGCTTTTTCAGATAATTCCACATGTTTTGCAATAATTAAAAAAACAATTCAGCCTAATTCAGCAGAAATGTGTTACTTGCTTAAGATAATTTAACCTTCTTTCTGCTTTTTTTTTAGCTACTTTTCAGCTGTTATCACCAAATTTCTCCTTGTTTTGTTGTTGATATTTTAAACTTTTTTGTGCTAATTTCTGCCTTAGTGCACAACTGTGCTAATTCCACTTCCTTTTGGCAATTTAACATTCTTTCTATTTTTTTTAAATTACTCTCCGGTTGTTTTTGGCAAAATTCTGCTTTTTTTCTGATAATTTCCACTTTTTTGTTCTCATTTATGCTTCTTTCAGCTTCATTAGGCAAATTTGTGATCTATCCACTTCCCTTTGCGCTTCTTTCTACCATGTTAGCTACTGTTCAGCTGTTTCATTGCTAATTTCAGCATTTTTTTAAGCAAATTTAGTCATTTTTGTGCTCATTTCTGCTTATTTGTATTTTTGTATTTGCAGGAAGAGAGCCACCTGCATCATGAAGGACCCCACCCACCCAGCACACACACTTTTTGCCCCACTCCCCTCAGGAAGGAGGTTAAGGAGCATTAAGTGTAGAACCACTAGACTGAGGAACAGCTTCTACCCTGAGGCTGTTAGACTCATGAATCTCTAACCAGAATAATCACTGTGAAAAACCACATCATGTTGCTGCTGATCTGTTTCATGTTGCTGCTGATCTGTTTCAATGTTGATGTGTTCATGCGTGCACATCTGCTCACAGACTCATGTTCATGTTTGTGCTGATGTTCAATGTTTTTATGTTATGAGTGCTTAGTGTATATTTAGTTGATGTTTTTCTTAGTTCATATCTTAGATGTTACTGTTTTTCTTATACATTTTATTGTTGGATGTAACTGGGGCCCTGTGTACATAATTTCGCTCCACCACATGTACCACATGAGGTACGAATGACAATAAAGAAACTCTGACTCTGATCTGACTGACTTATTTAAACCAAAATCTGCAAATACATGTTTTTCTGCTTTCTTCTGCTAACTTAAGCTTGTTTCAGCTACATTTCAGCATGTTTTCAGCTAATTTCAGCTGTTTTTCAGCAGGTTCTTCAGCAAAAAGCATTCACACTGCATTTACGCAAGAAATGCAATGAGTCACTTTAATGTCATTCTCTAATAAAACACATTGCTCCTGTGGAGCTTGTTGGTCACCACGAGTCTACTGGGCTACGAAACCTTGAAAGAAAATGGTTAATATAAATTTGGTTGTTGAAATACATGTTAAATTATTTTTCCTTTTTTCTTTTGGGCAGTAAAAGTAAAGTTTTCAAAGAAAGATTCCTTCTGTTTAGTGATGTGCCCCATCAACACAAGCTCAATGAGACGAACCTGTATAAATAAAGGTTGAATGAAAAGGGCGGAAGTTGCTTTAAACAAAACCAAATAACTGAGACGCTGCAGCATCCTAACAAATCTCAGGAGGAGGAAACGAAGATCAAACACAAATCTCCTCCACATTGGACCCTTTGGAATAAATAGCTGTTTGCAAAGGTTTATAGACAGACATGTTGATTCGATGGCTTATTTTGTTTAAATGTGTTGTCTCTTTTTTAGAATTGCATGCATGTTTAAAATACGGAACAATATTTTGAAAGAAGACAAAATGAGAGCTGAAGATCTGCTGTGGAAAATTAGCATTAAGAAATATAACCCTATTACATTTTTTTTGCATTTTATATTTATTCTTTGTTTCATTTCAGACTTTACATCTCATGATGTAATCTCAACACGTGTTTTAAAACTTCTGATTAATAAAGTCAGCTGTTGCTCTCTATTTTGTCGCTGTAATGCTACTTGTAGCAAGCACTTGTACAAAATATTTTAACCGCCATCAAACCATAGCAAGTTTTATAAGTCTTCAACGTTGAAAAGTGATGAATTGATACTGGTTTTATCTTAAGCTAATGAAAAAAAGGCCTAGCATCGGTTGCATGTAGCCTGCAGCCATTTTGGTCCAAGCTTAAAAACAAAGTTTTCTACAGTTTCATGTTGATGTTACACTCAGAGTATGTGTTGAGGATGACTCTCAGCTACAACCACACTTTACCTCCACCTCTGCAAACCTGACTGAGTTCTCAACGTCAGGTTGAGGCAGCCATCTTGAAAGGAGTTGACTCCGATAAGTAATTCGTTTTAGACGTACGTACAATTTCTGCAAGTTTAGTTAAAATTCATCACCCAATGATTTCACAATATTTTAGCAACAGACGCAGTAAAAAAAAAAACATTATTGTCCGTCGTTTTCTTTCTGCTGTCAATAATGAGCTTAATGTTAACGCCACATTGAAGGAGTGGTGGCGCAGAGGTTAGAGAAGGTGGGGCTGTACTCGGAAGGTCGCCGGTTCGACTCCCCATGCAGACAACATCGAAATGTGGGTGGAAAAGGTGAAACACTCACACCTGCCTCCACCCTCATTTGCCCCACTCTGGCTCCCAAACAGGACTGTCTTGTAAAAGAGTCCTCGTGACTCACTGAGACCTGTATAAATAAAGTTAAATAAAAAAACGAGGCCGAGAGAAGCAGCCTTTGTTAAACCAAAGAAGGTGGGCCTGTGATCGGGCGGTCGCCGGTTTGAATCCTCTGACTGAGTTACATTAAAATGTGGGAAAGGTGAAGCACCCCCATCTGCCTCCAGTCCCATTTGCCTCACTCTGGACCCTTGAGCAAGGAGGCTCTTCACAGCTGCTCCCCGGGCACCTCCACATGTGTGCTCACAAGCACGATGGAAAAAAATGCAGAGAATTAATTTGCCCATTGGGGATAAATAGAATATAATAAAATAAAACAAAAAGACAGAACTTGTGTTTGTGTTGCAAGAAGGTTGCAGGTTCACCTCCTGGCATGGGGCCTTTCTGGGTAAAGTTTGCATGTTCTCTCCGTGCATGCATAGTTTTTCTCCAGGTACTTTGATTTTATCCCACAGTCCACAAACATGCATGTTTCATTGGTAACTCTAAATTGCTCCTAGGTGAGAGTGTTTGTCTCATTTGTCTCTGTGTGTCCCTGTGATGGACTGGAGACATGTCCAGGGTGTCCTCTGCCTCTCACACAGTGACTGTGCTGGACATGGACACCAGCTCCTCACGACCCAGACATGGAAGCAGGTGGCGTCTATAACTGTGTAGTCTGGGCTCATGCGCAGTGTTGACCACACGGGGGCGCTGTTGCACTGCAGAGCGCTTTCTGTGGACTCCTCCATAAATCAAGCTGCAAGAGGGGAAGTTAAATATACCTTTAGGATTTCTCTGAACAAGCTGTGAGATATAAAGTTTTATTGTGCGTGTGGGGTGCATGTATCACCTCAGGCTCTCTTCCAGTGTTTGTTAAACCCGTTTTGTTCTCGTTTGATTTGATGAGCAGTTTTATTGACACTCGCTGTCGTTTTCTTCTCACTCGCTGCTGAACAGGATGTGCACACCAATCCTTCTGCTGTTTTAATTACAGCG